GAGCTTGTCCAGGTCCCTCTGGATGGCATCCCGTCCCTCTGGTATGTCGACCACACCACTCAGCTTGGTGTCATCTGCAAACTTGCTGAGGGTGCACTCGATCCCGCTCTCTATGTTGTCGATGAAGATATTAAACAGTACTAAATTGAAAACATAGTTCACTGAACTGCTCTCATAAAAGCATATGCCACTTCCTGTAAAAAAATTACAAAACGTGATGGGATTCTCCTGCATAAATAATAGGTCCCATGCTACTGGAGAAAGTTTAACTAATGCAAAGGAAAACAGCCTACAACTCAGTCAATAGGTTGGGACCCTTCTCACGGAAGAACAGTAACATCCAAATGTAAATTTCTTTTGCCTTCTTTCGGGAAAAAAAAGAAGTCTTTTTTTGTTTCACCCCTTTACTGATCCCATTGGTGGTATTTTTTGTTTAAGAATAGCGATCAAAGAATATCATTTCAAAGGTACGTCCTGAAATGTTTGCATGAAAATTGTCCTTTCGCAGAGCCAATATCTCTGCTGAATAGAGTGGAACATTTTCCGATGGGCCACATAAGCAACTACGAGGTTAAATTGGTAGTAACCAACCTGCGTATTCCCCAGTGCCATCGCAGAAAGCACTAATTGTACTCAAAGGGACTGCTCATCTCACAAACATTTTCCACTTCTGGGGCCAACACCTCCTGCTGAAGGACTGGGAAGGGTATCTGATATCCAGTCACATTTTCTCAAGTCAGCCTGAGATACGTTTCTAAAAGTTGTGTCCATCTGATCAACACAATTAGGTTGTAAGCTGCAGCTAGCCTAGAAAACGCTGGATTAATTTTTCAAATACAGTGAAATGTTGTGAAATGTTATGAAATGCTATGAAAATGACAATTGTAAAACAGAGAGGTATCTTCAGGACGGGCCAAACAAATACTATCCTCCAATTGAATTCCAAGCAAGGAAATTCTTCTGTAACCACCCATTTTAGGATGACTGGTCTGATTTATATATCCCTGTTTTTCCTTGTGGTATGAGCTGAATCTAACAGCTTTCCCAGATGGTCACTTATAGGCAGGTGTCACCACCTTCTTATTGAAACACCAAAGAGAATATACCAGAGTACACAGGTTGAAATTGTAAGGGGTCAGCTTTGGGACATCAAATGCACTATGAATTCAAACTGAGTCTCACGACGAAGCTGAAAACTACAAAGAACATAAAAGAAATAAACATTTCAGCTGGTTATGCACCAGAGATCTGTGTTAAAAGAAAGAGAAAACAGAAATTCCTACAGAATGAAAATTAGCATTCCTTCCTGAAATCTAATGCAATTGTTTGCATTAGAAAAAGTCAGTGATGATGATCTACTCAGAAAGAACAAAGTAAAGGAGATGAAACTGAGATAATCTATATTAGCACCGTTGTCTGTTACCTATCATAGAACTGCTGTTAATTCAAATTTTTGAAAGCCTACTGATCCATGAGTTGACATGGCTAACACATCCAGAAGCACGGGTTGGACTCTGTTATGGACCACAAACCAAATATACTAAGCTACTCATCAGGATCCTTTCTGCAATAAATTAAACCTATTATTTCCAATTTGAAGTTATAGAATAGGCTTTGAGCAAACTGATTCTGAAAGTTATAATTTTTATCTTCTAGCACAAAGATATTGAGTCAAACATGGCATATGTCTATTCTAGACTTCATTATGATGGGTAATTGCTAATTAGCAGACTGAATACTAGAGGCTCTTTAAATGATCATTGCCAAATTACATATAATATGTGCAAGCAAAGGTTAGTCCCAATCAATAATACATATAATTGGTGCTTCACAAGGTCTCATTTTCCCTTACGGCAGAACATGTGTAAAATCAGATGGGAGAAAAGTTGCAAGCAGAAAATATGAACAAAGATTGGAAATTCTTTAAGAATTTTTTTTTTTTTAAATGGGCCAGAATCCATAATTCTAGCATCAAGGAAGGTGATTTTGGCCAAAACCCCATTCTAGATCAGTGGCAAACTGAAAGCAACTATCTATAATACCTAGAAAAACTAGGAATAGCAACTGCTATGGATTTTATACAGGACAGCAAACTGCTTGGACAAACTAAGGATACCACAGAACGGTCCTTGGCTTGCAGGCAAGAAGAACTAAGAGGAGTCTTTTAAGCATAAGGCATCAATGAAATGTTAGCAGTGGTTTAATCCTATTAATAGGTTGAGATAGTAAATAAAGATGTTAATAATAGCTAATAATGATGCAGAAGGCAAAAGGGTTCATCCAATACTTCTGTTTTGCATTTGATATAGATGGGATGCAGACCTACACTCCCCATGTCATCTGTGACAGAAATGGACCAGGGCCTTGTTCTGGGCAGCCATCTGGGTCATGGTCCTTTCATGAGGCCTCCTAGACTCTGAAGAAGAAGAGAAATACCTAGAAGAGGTTTAGGGGTATGTTGTTAATTGAAGTAATTCACTTTACTAGGAGGCTGTGGATGTTTTTTCCCTTGGAAGGGTGTATTTTTGAATGACTAGACTAATCCGGCTTGGCTGGATGAGCAGTGAACATACAGGATCTATCCTGCCTGAAGTATCAGCGGAAGAACTCCATATAAAGTTACTCAACTAAGAAACGTGCCTCCCACAGCTTCTATATAGGAAGATTTTACTCTGTCCTCTCTATTCTGTTCAACTGTTGGCCTTCAAGGTACAGTCAATGACTGGAAATGGAAATATGGCATCTACTATAGAAGCTGCTTCAGACACGTGGCAGGGCACCATTTGTTAACGCTCTTTTTTGGCTTTTGCCCCGGGGAAAATAAAGATTGCTTGATTACACTCAAGCAAGGCAATAGATCTGGTTCCCAGATTCATGTCTGTGATGTTATCTGCTTGAGTATTTGCTGATTTAGGTTCCTTTCTGCCTGGGATATTGACTGCCTGCTCAGCCAATTGGCCTTTGTGTTTCAGTTTGATGTGAAAGGTCTTTATTGACAGAAAACAAATCAGAGCCTGATGCAGGAACTTCACCGCTGTTTCACTGGGACTGGAGCTGTTGCCTCCTGCCTGTGCTTGCCAAAGATTGAGCTGTTGCATTTCCTGACATTATCAACGCAAGGTGGTAACTTGGGTCTTTCTGGAACGAAAATGTTATTTGCATTGTGACCTTCCACTCCCAAAATTTTATACTCCTTATCTGACCATATTTCTACTCCTGACGTATCTTTCAAATTCACTCCTCTGTGGTTTTTATCCTTCAGAGTAATGTGATAAGGATTTCTTGCATACTTATCTCTCGGTTGACTGCTACCAAGGGCATGTAGTTCCTGTGTATTACACATACCTGTGACCTCTTGGCTTCACCAGCTGGTGTAGAAGAAAGTGAGCAGAAGACAGAACAGGCCTCCAAAGCTGGAGCCAATATTCACACACATGTGCTTTTTTCTAAGAAGCTCAATTTCCAAATTCTTCTCTTAGCCATAGCCGTGCAAATTCATTGACCTCAATTAACTTCAGCAAGGCTGTGCTGATGCGGCTGTACCTAATAAACACTGTTGGGCTCTGGGTATGGAGCAGCATGTGCTGCACTGCTTGCACGTATAACCTGATCCATAAGCAAATCTCTCTGCAAAATTCTATGGTGTATTCTTAGTAACCATACTAATGTCTTGGCTGATATCACATATACATTTTGTGTAGAATTATTGTTACTAGAAGCTTCACCTATTTTTCCTCTTGCTAGAATATCTATATTCTCACTTTTTTTTTTCCCCTCACTGCATGGACAGCCACTGGGAATCAGGTTTCTTTCCCTGTTTTTTTTCCCTGAAATCTGATAATAAACCAATGATTCTAAGACGCTACCTGCTTAGTATTTATTAGTTTTCTCTGGTGGACATGGGCATTGCAGATGAGGGATTTCCATCACTAAAACATCACATGATCATCACAGCAGCATGTGGAGTCTTTGAATTATCACTGCCAGGTCTCCCACGCACACTGTAGAGAAAGCAGGTGACTCATGAAAAAGGGTGTGCTTTTAGTAATGTTCACACAAAGCTGAACATTTGGGTCAGTTTGGTCTTCCAGAGAGATGTGACTATGTCAGAATATAATGTTTCTGTGGCCACATTAAAAAAAACAAGCCAAAACCAACCACTGCATCTCTCTCTCTCTTTCTTGCTTGACTTCAGAACTAGAGCCAGGTGAAATCAGGCATCTCCCTTCCACTGAAAGGGCCAGCAGGCCAGCCTGTGCTTTCATTCCTAGCTGGATTGCATTAAACAAACTAAAAACCCCAAAAAACAATTTTTTAAATGTTCTGTTTCAGGAGAGCAAAAAAATTCAGTTCTGAGGCAGTTCAGAATTAAATTGTGTCTGCATACGGTGTCACAGAGTCTCATGGGAGAGGTTGCTTAAGTGCTCAGTAGTGAAGCTCTCCATCAGTGTAGATTTCTCCAGGTGTGCTCCAGCCTCCTGGTTCCCTTCCTTTCTAAGGTATTACACCCAGTTTCTTCCACTGACTCTTTACTAAACATGATCAGGCCCTCCACACCCTTTAAACCTGAGTAAACTCACCAGACTCTCCAGTGCAGTTCACATTATCTGATGCCAGTAATATAATATAGTCATTTTCATAGCTCACATAACAATATAAAATGAAACAAACCAAAAATCCAAGTGCATTTCTCCTTGTGCAAGCAAATTCAGCCGAAAGATTTAAAACAGCTTAATGAAATAAAATGGTTTCTGACTTCCAACCATCTGTGTTTAAAAACTATATAAAATACACAAGAAGAGAAATCAACAGAAAGGATATGAATGTACCAAAATTTTAATTGCTGCTCTTCTGATTGGATGGAAAGGACTAAGTATGTACAAGGCAGGAGTGGCACTAAATCGAAAGATTGTCTTCCCTTTGTTCAGTACTATAAATGTCTGGAAAACAAAATAGAAAATGAGAACATTCAGTATTTGCATTTATGCTCAGCTTTTCCCAGCCCACGTCCCATTGGGAAATTCCTGCCAGTATCCCATACTTCTTCCCCACTCCTTCCCGAGACCCCCAAATTCCTTTTCATTCAGCGAAGAGTTTTGTCCAAGACCCTCCCAGCAGAGCTGTTGCCTGTCTTATTGCAATATCCCAACTATTTTCTCTTCCTTCACTCCTTACAGGGTCCTGTGCCATCACCTCCATCACGCGGCTGTAAAGAGAGTGGAATCCCCTTTAAAAGTAAAAAATGACGTGGAGACTAAAATGTGGTGGAGGGACTTCTACGGTGTTCTTCCTCCCCGTTGCCGGGAACCTTACTATGTTGTTACTCCATCTTCTCTACCTTGAGCACTTTGTTGCTCTCAGTCGCTGTTTTTAGACTCACCAAGTAAGAAGCTGCATGAGGCACAGCTCCACAGCAGGATCTGACCCTGGCACTGAGGCACTGTCATTTTACTCAGGTTAATATGGGCAGAAGAAACCAATACTGTGAGTTATGTTAAACCCAAAGCAAAGGTGAATTGGATGTCGGCCCAATTGACGAGCTCTGAAGATGCCCCACCATGCACAGAGGAACTAATATTCACTCAGAGACAGAGGATCAGGACACCCAATAGATAAATTCTAAGCAACTCACTCACCTTGAGTCTAAGACCTTCATGACACTAAAATTGCAAATCTATATCCTGCTGCTTGTGCCCGGGGATAGCAGGCAAATTAAAAGGTAAATTAATTCTGGCCCTTCCAGATAAGTAATCTATTTGTCTTTATCCATTTAACTTTTATTCTGTAGTTCTTGCACCTGTTTCTACACTGTTTTAATAGAAGTAGCATTGTGGTCATATTAATTCATTGTTTACAGGAAATAGTATAGCCCAAAATCAGGAACATCAGTACCTGAAAGAACTGGAAGCTGCCTAAAAATACACTGTGCTTCCAAGCCTTATTTTGTCCCCTGTGTTGCAAAATGTTTGGAAAGGGGAACGAATTGTAGTAAGCAACCAGCCCAGCTCTGCTGTCAACAGCCTTTTGACAGAAGCTGTTTGCACTGTTGTGGCTTTTGTCCAACCTACACGTGATTCCTCATCAGGTGATGCTCACTTTGGGACGAAGCTTACCCTTCTGCAAAGTGCCAGCATTGCACATGCTACTCACGTCTCCCTTCAGGTCTATTTTGGTCATTTTAAATGGCATTGAACTACCCCTCAGCAGGAAAAGAACCGCTGCTCTCCAGGAACGGTTGTGGTGGTGCCTCCTGCTCTTATGCAGAGTGCTAGCACAAGACTCAAGTCACCCAGAAGCCCTTAACATTAAGGGGCTTAAGTGATAAACAGACCTGTGAAGAGTCAAGGCTCATGCAGAAGGCAAGATAGGGTAGATAAAAACCTCTGGCTTAATTTAACTCAGCTACTGCTCTGCTCTTTTCAGACACTGTATATTCATACTCAGTTATCTGAAAACACCCAAGTTTTAATTATGCTTTTTATCCCTCTTTGCCCTCCTGCTTAGATGTTTTCTGGAAGCCCTGCTCATGCCGAAACTCTGATCCTTAATCTGGAAAAAAATATTTTTACTGGCTGTAGAAAGATAAAAACCAGAGCCCTCAAAACAGAGACAGTGTTTATGCTTTAGCAAAAGCAAAGCAGCAGGATGGCTGGCTGGTGCTCACCTTACGATCATTGTAGAAAGGGTCAAGGTCCTCCAATGGCTCCCCAATGAGCTCTGGAGGAACAGTCCCATAGATATCGGGCAGCTTCTTGCAAGCTTGCAAATCGAACTGAGGCTGAGGTTTCTCTTCTTCGCCCAGCTGCTCTCTGTATTCCTGCTTTGCATTCCTTGCAAGCTTCTCCGCAATTCGTTTCTCAATAGCAGCCAAGGATTCAGGCGTGAACCGGTGGAAGCTGTTAGTACCCGGTGGTAACAAGAAGTCAGCCATCTTTTCATCCTGCTTTGTCTTTACTGGTCTTTACTCCTCGTAGTGGAAACAGCTGAAACAAAAAGAACCAAAGGTTAGTGACAGGAGCAAAGCAAGAAGAACAAAGCCATCAGAATGAAAAAAATAACCCAGATAACTTGTAGGCTATCTATTACCAGGAAACCCTTCATCTATTTTTATGTGGTTAGTAGAACATCAAGGAAAACAGAAATGACTGAAACTGTAATTTCAATTAGGAATCACTCATGATCAGAGCTAAAAAGACTTTGTAGATAGACTGTGGAGTATCCTTAAGTTTTTCAGTCACTTGGGATCCTAAATCCAAAATAAGGAGCAATTTAGATTCATATAAGCTTAAGCCTCATTGAAAGCCACAGGGATTTGGATTCCTAACTCATTTTTGAAAATGCAGCTCTGGGAGTGGATGAACAATGTGCCTAAGATGACTGCAGGGCAGATTTAAATCAGCCCATCTCCAGCCACATGATGCAAACTCTAAAAATGCTTCAGCTGTTCTATTCCAAATTTAAAGAGTGAAGGGTCAAGTTCAGATTCTTAAATCACATAGAAATTCTTCATAATCTCTGTCTTAGGCTTCTGCAACATAATTTTTACTTTCCTTTGGGATAGTAAATACGATCGTCAAGATATCTGTCAAGACTTTTGAGCATTTTCTTCTCCTCCACACCCTACAATCTGAAGGATGTTGGGAGCCCAAATGTGGCTGGCAAAGCCCTGGAACCTTCATGAGAGCACTCCAAGCTTCTGAGATGCTGAATAGCCACTGCTGCCAGTTCTTCACATCTGAAAACCAGGCTCCTTCCGTCCAATACCAGTTTGAACATCTAACCCGAACCTGTGAGGTTTGACCATCTTGGGTTGATGGTGCTTCACTGCTAACACTTCCAGTCCCCGCCTGGATGAAAACAAGTGAGAATTGCCACATCTCTTCATCTTACGTGAATAAAGCCAAGCGTGAAAAACACAGCAGAACAAAAAGGCTTCTTGTATCTGCACTAAATAACATGGAGGGCTGTGAAAATTAATGTAAAGCTTATGTTTGAAAAGCTTATCCCTGTTCCAGTAAATGGAGGGCTGTGAAAATTAATGTAAAGCTACTGTTTGAAAAGGGATGAAGCTTATCCCTGTTCTAGTAGCCTGCACAAATCCATCCAAGTTCACTGAAGCCGTATTGTGTAATTTAATAAGGACTTTAGTGGCATGTTTTTCCAGCAAGAGAAACCCCCACTATGCAACAATTAAAACTCATTTCACAGAAGAAACGCAGCCCTTGTTTTTTTACCACCACCAGACCATTCATACGAAATCAGAATACAAACTGGTGACAAACAAAATAGTAGATTTTGAGGTGGGCTACCATTGCATTTGTCGATGTGTGCAGGATACAATTCTTTGTTTAGCCACAATTGTTGTTTTCTGCTTTCAGATGGTGTTTGTCTATTTACAGTGGATAGTTCCAGATAGTTTGCTTCTATTAGGCTCTGTGATGACAGCATTTTTGTTAGCAAACAAGACTTTAACTGGACTCTGCATGACAAATAGCATATTTATTGACTCAATTTATTTGAGTAAAGTACTCTTTCAAATAACTACTGTTTTTTCCTATTCTGACCATTCTAAAATGAATTCATTAAATTGTCATTGATCACAGCCTATCATACAGGAATGATTTACTGGAGCTTGTACATTATACTCCGCATTACTGCTTGTTTGAACAAGCAGGGCTAAAATGAATTAGCCTTCCTGGAGTTTGGGTATTCTGACATTCTTTTCTATTTAGATTTATTCTCTTTATTCCTTTCCCCTCTCCCCTCACATCATTTGTTTTATCCCCTTCCTCCCGAAAAACAGGAAATTAGAAGCTTTCCCACAAATTGAGTTTTCTTATGCTCAACGCTTTGTGACTCAGCTCCAGTGCAAGCAAATAGAATTTCACTTTCTATAAATGACATCAGTACAGGTGGCCAGAGAATTCTCAGAGGTTTTTTGTCATTTCAATTTTTGTTTCCTCACAGTGAAACCTGTCTCAGTGCTGAAGGGGACAACAAAAATCAGTGGCTGATCAGTACTTCTGGAAGGGCACAGACTAGGTCTCTAAACCATTGAGATGATCATTGCGGACTGTTAGTTGAGGTCTAGATAATCATGAGCGCTGTGAAGACAGTGAGTGGGGAATGACTGTTCACTTTTTCTCATGATACAAGAATGGAGAAATTTCAAATGAAATCACAGAGCAGCAAGTTTGAAACAACCACTGGAACCACTTTCCACATTGCGCAGTTATCCTGTGAAACCTGTTGGCTGCAAACGGCAAGGATTCACAAAGCCACAAGACAAATCCAAGGGCAAAAGATCCATTAATGGTTTTAAACACAAAGATGCTGTCTCTGACTGAGAAAATCCCTTAGCTGCAGAACCTGGGTGCATGCAAGAAAGACTACTTATGTTTGCCCTATTTTTACACTCTTCCTAGGCTACCAGTCTGGAGAAGCCCATCATCAGATCTTTCGTGCTTTTGTCCTTCTGTAGCACTAATGCCAACACAAGACAGCCTACGCTGACTTGGGCAAGGGCTCAATCTGCCTGCCGACTCTGTGGCTGGCCTGAGCTTGTGCAGACACGGGAGCACACAGAGAACCAGAGTTAATACCCCCGTACATCTGTAGGTACTCAAGATCCACATCGCACTAACTACCTGCTTCAGGTGCTTTGGAGCACGGGCTGGGTGCCTGCCTCCAACCTACACAGACATTCCCTTTGCTGGAAAACTGGTGGTAGCCACATCTGCACCACCTTCTCCATATAGCCGAACTGGAGGCATGGCCATATAGCATGAGGGACTCCAAGTCCTTCACTGAGATGGTAAGAGAACATGTGGAATGTCTCTACTAAGTGCTGCAGTTTTGGCGGGTGTTACTTGATCACAAAAACTGAATCTTCACCAGAATATTCAGCATCCTCCTCAGACTTCCTTAAAGACTTCCAAAAGAAGCCATTCTGGCCACAGAAAAGGTCAAAATTCCAAAAAACAAACAAACAAACAAACAAAAAGAATAGGGGATGGTGAGGGATATAAAATATATATATTATTTTAAAGGGAATTATTTTTGCTTCAAGCTCTCTCTCATTAGAAAATTGAATCAACTTCAAGCTGGTCAAAACCAGATCTTTTCCGTTTTATCTGCAAATTCCAGAAAGATAGCTGCCTAGGAACAACTGGGAAATCCAACGCAAACTTCATTAGAGCTTGTGCTACTCTTCTATTTTGCTTCAAGCTCTCTCTCATTAGAAAATTGAATCAACTTCAAGCTGGTCAAAACCAGATCTTTTCCGTTTTATGCAAATTCCAGAAAGATAGCTGCCTAGGAACAACTGGGAAATCCAACGCAAACTTCATTAGAGTTTTGCTACTTCTTCTATTTACTTTTCCTTAAAAAAATTACATTTTCCAGCATCCTTACAATTGACAAATCTTGACATGTGTTGTCTTCATATTGTATATAAGTTAAAGTTCCAAATTTTAATATAGATATTTAGCCTAACTCTTTTTCCATTTCATATGTTTTCAGGAAATGGACAAGATAATTTCACAGGTCCTTTCTATGTCTAATTTCTATTAGTCTATGAATTGCAAACATTTCTACAAATAGCCAGGGTTAGCCCAGATGTTTCTTAAAAGAGTAAGAAAGCACCACAACTTAAAAAGGGAAATCGTCAATGACTGAATCAAAGAGCTGGAATGCCATTTCTTAAGAGATAATAGCTGTTGTGACTCACATTTTTACAATATAAGCCTGGATTTTTCCATTCCTCTCAGGCATATTTTTGAAGTACAAGGCTTCAAACACATTGTTTCTGTGATATCACCATGCACAGAATGAACATTTCCCTCTTGCTTTGTCTTTGTTAAATTCAGTTAACATCGGTTCTTGCTGATAAAAATGTATTGGTTATGTAAACAAAATGTGCATATGAAAATAAAGCCCCAAGATGCATATTTTCTAAGGCATGGCAAGAAGTGAGAACAGTACAAACAAATAAGATATTGCTAGCACCTGTATTTATTCAGCAAGATAAATGTCGTTTTCCATTATGGTTTTAGCCTTACTCTTATAGGCTTCAGCCACCCCAGCTCAAAAGACCTTTCAGGTTCTCAGAACATGATGTGCATACCCTACAAGCCTTTCCCTGACTCCCCACGGATAGGTGACCATCACCCAAAAGGCCACTTTGGGCAATAGGTTGCTTGCAGCGGTGTAAATACAAGGAAAGTGGGTCCCGCTCACCTCCAGCTAGCTGCCCTCCTGCTCTTGCATAGGCTTTGTGGACTCAGACCACCACCCTAGTGCCTACCAACCCCTTATCATGGCCCAAGATGCTGACGCGAGCCAGCAGCGAGGTCCCATCCCGCAGAAGCAACAGGTGAAGCAGAGGCTGAGGTCCTTGCTGTGCACTACACCTGGTTGGACACTGACTTCAGAGAAGCCACGGCTTCTTGCACCTCCATCTCCTGCTTGCACGATGGCATAGGATTGCTTGCCTGGCGTGGTATCAAGGACAAGCATGTATATATTTCAGACACTTGGCAATTATAATAAAGGAGCCAAACTTGACGATCAACAATGTGAAAGTGGCGCTCACAGGCTAAAGGTTAGATACCATCAGACACGCTCATCTCGAGTAGGACTGCATTCATTTAACTGTACTGATTTCCATGATGCCACTCGAGAAGCTACTACTGACCGTGGGCTGGGGAGATGGAGGATAGCCCGTGGCAGCAAGTATGTTTACACTGCAATTCTGCTAGACCTGAATCTTACAAAATAACAATCAGGAGTCCTAAATTCTCCTTTTGTTTAAGAAATGTTTGTGACTAAATATAGACTTTGCATTCCTAACTGCTGTGGTAACAAAAACAGCCATGAGGATGGGTTTCTTTTAAATGTTTGAGACTATATGGAGCACAGTCAGTCAGCTTT